TGGGCAGGAGCAGCAGTCCCAGCAGCAGCAGGACCAGCCCCAGCCGCAGCCGCCGTCCCAGCAGCACCCGCCGCAGCCGTGGGCTCGTCTCCCGCCTGGTTGGCCCGGCACCTCCGGAGGCGGTGGCCGTGGTGGCGGCCCGCGCAGCTTGGCGTCTACCAGCGGCTCCAGTGCTGTGACCTGCCAGTACCAGCTTCAGACCGGGCCTCTCCGCGGCACTCTGTGCCGCCGCCCGCACCCGACCGCCCGCTGTTTCCGCCGCCTCGACGATCTTTTTCGTCGTCGCTTTGGCCCGGCCCCGGACCTCCCTGACTGGCACAGCCTGCTCCGCCAGGGCGTGCCGATCTTTGAGTTAGACATGGATCAGATAGGTGCTGCTTTGCATGCTTTGTATGCTGACGCTTCTAGTGTTGATGGATCTTACTACCCTGTGTACTCTAGTTTAGGTGTTTCACCCTTGTGTAGCTTAGCTTCCCCTGCTGCGACAGGCGTAGGACTGCCTAGGTTGCCTAGTCTAGTCGCTGCACCGGCTCCGTCCCCGGCCCCCGCCACTGCGTCGCTGTCCTTCACTCTCGACTCTGGTGCTTCTGCCTGCTTCTTCCGCGACCGTTCCACGCTCACGCCGCTTGCTGCACCTGCTGTTGTCTCTCTCGCTGACCCCTCTGCGGGTCCGGTCGTCGCGCGCAGTTCTACGTCCCTTCCCTGTCCGGCAGTTCCCTCGGGCTCCCTTACTGGCCTCCACGTTCCCTCGTTCTCCAGGAACCTGGTTGGTGTCGGCTGTCTCCAGGACCTCGGCATCACCACCACGTTCCCCGGGCACGAGCGGTTCGCTGTCTGTTCTGAGGCTGTCTCAGGTTCCCCCCTTGCGACGTTCCCCCGGGACCCGGTGTCCGGTCTGTTTACCCTACACACCGCTTCCCCCCCGGTTGGTGCGTCCTCCCAGGTCGCAGCAGCTTGCTCGTATCGGTCCCTCACTCACCCCTCCCTTCTCTGGCACCACCGCTTAGGTCACCCTGCTCTCCCGCGTCTGCGTCACATGTCCCAGCACGGTCTTGTCTTAGGTCTCCCCGCGTCGCTCCCTGCCCTTCCTCCCTCGACTGCGCCACCGTGCACGCCTTGCGTCGAGGGTCGGCTCCGCCGTGCTCCTCACTCCTCCTCGCTGCGTCCTGCTACTGCCCCCCTTCAGACCCTGCACTTGGACGTTTGGGGCCCTGCCCCCGTCCCCGGACCGCGCGGTGAGCGCTACTTCCTTGTGCTTGTCGACGACTACACGCGCTACACCACGGTGTTTCCCCTGGAGCGGAAGGCCGACGTGCCCGACGTTCTTCTCCCGTGGGTTGTGGCTGCGCGTCTCCACCGCGGTCTCCCCGTGTTGTGTCTCCACTCCGACCGTGGCGGCGAGTTCGCCTCTGGTCGGCTTGGACAGTTCTGTCGTGCGGAGGGCATCACCCAGTCGTACACCTTGCCGGACTCGCCACAGCAGAATGGGGTTGCTGAGCGCCGCATCGGCTTGGTCATGGAGGTCGCCCGTACCTCCATGATCCATGCCGATGCCCCCCATTTTCTGTGGCCGTTCGCTGTTCGCTACGCGGCTCACCAGCTTAACCTGTGGCCACGCTCCCAGCGGCCGCAGGTTTCGCCGACCCTCCTTTGGACCGGGTCCCCCGGTGACGCGTCTGCGTTCCACGTCTGGGGCTGCCTTGCTCACGTTCGTGCCTCTGGCACGGACAAGCTCACTGCCCGCACTGTCCCCTGTGTCTTCCTCGGTTTCCCCCTGGACTCGTCTGACTGGCTTTTCTACCACCCGCCGTCTCACCGCTTCCTCCACTCTCGTGACGTCACCTTTGATGAGTCCGTCTCCTTCTACCGCCGCTTCCCTCACCGAGGTCTCCCAGTTGCCCCCCCCCTTTTCCTTGCTCCCTCTCCCCCGGTAGCCCCTGCCCCTCTCCCGCCTCGTCCTGCCCCGTCTGGTGTCTCCCACGTCACTCCCCTCCCGTCGGTTGTCCCCGTTGAGGAGTCTGCTGACTCTGGTGGTACCCCCGGTCCGTCCTTGCCGCGTCCCCCTTCCCCGGTGCCTCCGCCCCCACTGTCGCAGTCGCCGACCCCGCTGCCGCCGCCGTCGCCGTCGCCGCCGCAGCCGTCGCCGCTGTCGTCGCCGCCGCCGCCGCTGTCGCTGCCGCAGCCGTCGCCGCTGTCGCCGCCGCCGCAGCCGTTGCCGCCACTGCCGCCGCTGCTCTCGGCCCCTGGGGGTGCTGGTGTGGAGGAGGGTGTTCGTCCTGCGGCTTCTGGGGGTGCCGCTGGTGTTGGAGGGGGTTCTCGCTCTGGGGGTGTTGGTTCTGGGGGTGCTGCTGTTGAGTGTTCTGCCGACGGTCGTTCTGCCTCTGCTGGTCCGAGAGTTCCGGCCCAGCCGTCGTCGCCGCCGCAGCAGCCGTCGCCGCCGGTTTCCGCTCTCCGCCTGCTCGGCCTTCCCTCCCCGGACCGCGCGCCGGTGTCTCCCCCACCGCCTCCTGACCTCCCTGTCTACGGTCCTGTGTTCCCGCCGCCAGACTCGTCTCCGGCCCGTCTTCCTCCTCGTTCCCCTCCTGTGTCTCCTCCGCTGTCCCCTGACCCTACCCCTCCGTCTCACGTTTGGGCTCGCCGTCCCTCCCGTGCTCGTCCCGTCTCTCCTGTCCTGCCCACCCACCCTATGTTGCTCCGTTCCCACTCGTCTCGTCCTCCCCTCCTCCCGTCCCCTCCTCCCTCGTCCCTTGCTGTTGCACCTCCTCCGTTCTCTGACTACCTCCGTGCTGCTCGTCCCCTTGTCCCTCGGGTCCTTGCCTCTCTTGTTACCGACCCTGCTGTTCCTGTCTCGCGCCTTGACGCGCTTGTCGCTGCTGTCGCTGACTTCGCTTCTACCCGCCGCCTTGACTACGCTACCGCTCTGGTCTCTGACCCTGCCCGTCCTCTGTCCGTCGGGGGTGCTCCTGCCCTTGGCAGTGACGTCCTAGAGGACAGGCAGTACGAGCTGGCTTTCCTTTCCGAGGCTGCTCCCCATCTCTGCTCCATGCTGTTAGTCCCTGAGGGTGACCCAGACGCCTTCGACATCCCGACCCCTCGCACCTACGCTGAGGCCACCTCGGGACCTTGGGCCTCTCAGTGGATAGCTGCCATGGAGCAGGAGATGGCATCTTGGAGATCCACCGGCACTTACGTCGACGCAGTTCCCCCGCCTGGGGTGAACGTAGTCGATGGTCGGTGGCTCTTCAAGGTGAAGCGCCCCCCTGGAGAGCCGCCTGTCTTCAAGGCGCGCTACGTGGCCAGAGGTTTCAGTCAGCGCGAGGGGGTTGACTTCTTCCAGACCTTCGCCCCGACCCCGAAGATGACCACTCTTCGGGCGCTGCTACACGTAGCAGCACAGCGTGACTACGAGCTTCACTCCCTCGACTTCTCTACTGCCTTTCTTCAGGGCAGCCTACACGAGCAGGTCTACCTGCGCCGACCACAGGGCTTCACTGGTACCTTCCCTCCTGGGACCCAGTGGCTTCTCAGGCGCCCGGTCTACGGCCTGCGTCAGGCTCCCCGCGAGTGGCACGACACGCTACGTGCCACGTTAGCAGACCTGCAGTTCTTTCCGTCCTCTGCTGACCCTTCACTGTTTGTGCGTTCCGGCCAGACTCCGTTCTACATCCTTGTCTACGTAGACGACCTGGTCTTCGCTACTCCTGACAGGGACGCACTGGCCTCTGTGAAGGCTGAGCTGCTGAAGAGACACACCTGCACTGACCTTGGAGAGCTGCGTCGCTATCTTGGCCTGCAGATCTCTAGGGACAGAGCAGCACGCACCATCACTCTGACCCAGTCACACTTGGTGCGTCAGGTCCTTCAGAGGTTCGGTCTTCAGTTCTCCTCCGCACAGCCCACACCTCTACCCGTAGACCATGGGCTCTCTGCTCCCGTTCCTGAGGAGCCAGTAGAGCCCAGTGGCCCCTACGCAGAGCTGGTGGGTTGCCTCATGTACCTGATGACTTGCACTCGCCCAGATCTCGCATACCCTCTCAGCATCCTGGCTCGCTTTGTGGCTACAGGCAGACACCGACCTCAGCACTGGTCTGCCGCTAAGAGGGTTTTGCGTTATCTTGCTAGTACATCAGGCATGGGGTTAGTGCTAGGAGGACGCAGGCCAGTGGTCCTTACTGGGCACACAGACGCTTCTTGGGCAGACGACGCTGAGACGCTCAGGTCGTCGCAGGGCTACTGTTTCAGCCTTGGTTCGGGTGCTATCTCTTGGAGATCCACTCGCTCGTCGTCTGTGGCTCAGTCTAGCTGTGAGGCTGAGATCTACGCTGGTGCCATGGCGGCACAGGAGCTCCGCTGGCTGACCTTCTTGCTCACAGACTTAGGTGAGCGGCCTAGCTCTGCTCCGGTCCTGTACGCTGACAACAGGGCCATGATACTCCTGTGTCAGGAGCCTCGGCTTGAGGGCAGAGCGAAGCATATCCAGCTGCGGTACTTCCTCCTGCGCGAGCTACAGCAACGCCGCCAGGCCCGTGTAGTTCACTTGGCCTCAGGTGCCAACACAGCTGATATCTTTACTAAGGCGCTTGCGCCTAAAGATCATCAGCGGCACTGTGTACAGCTTGGTCTTGTTCCTGTAGCTGCTCCCCTGTTAGGATCCTGATTGTGTACTCTGTATTATATATGCTTGTCAGATTGGCCTTGTGGCCTTACCTCCAGTGGCTGGACTAGTAGTGCCACCCTGGCTTGCTTCAGTTTTGGTTGTCTTCTTGCTGACTGGTCTCCAGACCCCTGCCTCAGTGGTTGGACTAGTAGTGCCGCCCTGAGCTGTTTGCTTCTTGTTTAGTTTCACCCCTTGTCTAGCCTAGGGGGTGTGTCAACTTATACATATTATCTATGTAGAAGTTATAGGCTAGACTGAGGTATGCTTCTAGTGAGTACAACCAACTAGTATTTGTTCTAGGTTTCCACCTCTAGTAATCATTCGTTTCTACGTTAACAGTTACGTAGTTGACATCTTGAGGAATGCCATATTGCACGAACCGATGATGGTGGGCCTCAGCCCAGTGAATCAGTGGGATATAAGGCAGTTGGCATTGCTGCTATTGTAAGAAATAGGGGCATTGCAGACCTCGAATACCTACCCACCACATGGTAACAACACATGAGGCTTGCTTCAAACGCCCCTCCCCCAAGATGGGTTGGCTGATCCACCGCATTTTCAATGACCCCACCGGCGAGGAGTGCTGGAGGTTAGGTCATTCCTACGTGGAGCACCGGAGTCGCCGTCACTCCAGCACCAAGTCCTGCGTGCTCTCCACCGCTGCTCTCCTCCCCAGCCGTGCCTCTTCTCTCGCCCACCACCCCACCAGCTCTGCTGCTGCATCCTCGCTCAGCCGCGCCCCCTGCTGCCCCACCACCATCGCTGCCACGCGCGCAGCAAAGCCTCCAACGGCCGCCACATCAGCAGGCGCGAGCTGAAAATCTGGAGACCGGTGCGACGCTGAAGGCGAAGAGCAGGGGGAGAGGAAAGTGGCTGGGAGGGAAGTGGGGAAGGACGAGTGCAGGGGCATGGCAGCGGCATCACCTGACATGGCTGACATGGGGCTGCTGCTGCTCATCAGATCGCTGCTGCTGATGCCCACACTCCTGCTACTTGTGTTTCGCTCACGCGCCTTGTTCTTCTTCCATAGCAGCCGCAGCTCCTGCTGCAGCTCCATGTCAGACAGCCCTTGAGCGCCACATGCCAGAAGGCCGTACAGCAAGCCAGCAGCATAAGCATCCCCGGCACCACACGTGTCCACGGCGTGGCACGGCGCGGATGGCACAAAGGTCACTCCTGCACCCCTGTGGGCGATGTAAGCGCCCTTGGCGCCATCGGTGACTGACACGAGCGGGCAGTAGCGGGAGAGCTGCAGGGCGGCCCAAGCGGGGCAGGTGGAGGGCGGGCAGTCCAGCAGCGCACAGGCCTCATCGCCGTTGGCGAAGAGAATGTCCGCGGACTCAGACATCACCTCCCTGCGCACACCACACACACACACACACACACACACACACACACACACACACACACACACACACACACACACACACACACACACACACAGAGAGTGGGGAGGGGGATTGATTATCAGCCAGGCAGCAGCAGTACGAAGGATGAGAGGGATTCAGGGGGTGAGCGCCCAAGTAGCCAGTGAGAGCAGGAAGAATTAAGTGTACACACGCACATGCTTCATGCACACACCACACACGTGCCACCATCCCAAGCCCGCCTCTCCCTCACGCCGCCCTCGCCCCGCACTGCGCTCACCAGAACTGCGGGCGGTGGCGCGCAATGCAGGTGACGTCGCTGCCTGTGAGCGCGACGAGCGCGCCAGTGGCTTTGGCGGCGTGGCAGGCGGCGGATATGGCGTGCACGGTGCAGGGCAGATCCCACAGGTACCCCTCCACCACCACCACGCGCGCGCTGCTCACCGCGGCCCGCAGCGCCGCGTCCAGTCGCACCACCGACGACATACCCTGCGCGCACGGGACGCGGGGGAGGGGGCGGTGCGGAGAGGGCGTAAGCGGTGGTGGTTAGAGCGAGGCGAGAGGAGCATGCGACGGCATGATGGGGAGAGGAACGCGGAGGTAAGTGAGTGCGAGTCATGCCATGAGCGCGCGGTACCTGGTACGCGAGCATGGTGCGCTGTGCGTCGGGCGTGGTGAGCACCACCACGGTGCCCGTGGTGCCGTCCGCCATGGGTTTCGACAGGAAGTGCACGTTGGCGCGTCGCAGCTTTGTGCGGTAGAACTCCCCCAGCGGATCGCCGCCCACGCTGCCCGTCATCGCCACGCGCAGCGCCGACCCGCCACCCGCCGCGACACCGTTGCCGGTGCCGCCAGTGGCGCTGCAGCTGCCAGGGGCGGCGGAGGGGGAGGCGGCGGCGGCGCCGAGGCGGGCGAGGGCGACGAGCGTGTTGGAGAGCGAGCCGCCCGCGGAGAGCTTGTAGCTGCAGCCGTCGAGCGCCCGCAGCACGCGGCCGCGCTCCTCGTGATCCACGAGCGTGCGACTGCCCTTGGCCAGCGCCAGCCCGCGCAGAAAGTCGTCGTCCACCATCGCCGCGAAGTCAACCTGTTGGCGCCCGCGGAGAGGGGGGTGGTGGTGGTGGGGGGGGGGAGAGACTCGGGATCCTGGCCAGGGTAAGGGCGCGAGACAAGTGACGGCAGGTGCGCGATGGCACAGACGGTGCGTGGGACGCGAGACGTGCATGGACCCCCCGCCCCAAAACCCTCACGCTCCCCCTTTTCCCAGACGAAACGTGCGCTCGAGACGCCATTCATCCCTCCAGGGGGTTTCCGCCCTTAAAAACCGGGAATGACCAACGTTCCTTCTCGTCGTACAAAACTCCTCCACCTCCAACCCCCAACCCCAGGTCCCCCCCCCCTCCCCCAACCGACTGGTCCGATTCCCCCCGACGCACCATGGCCTGTCCCACGCCCACCACGTCCCAGCTCTGCCCGCCGCCCGCCCCTGACGCCGTCGCTTCCGCGCGCACTCGCTCGCCTGGGGACCCCGCAGGCCCCGCCGCGCCCGCCGCTGCAGTCTTCCCCAGCCGTCGTTGCGCCGCTGGGCCGTTTGCCGATAGATCCGACGGCTTGCGGGACGCACGTCGGGCGTGGCGGCGAGATGCGGCAGCGAGGGGTCGGACGGACGACGGGGCAGTGACGGAGGCGCGAGAGGCGGACGCGGCGAATGCGGGGGACGCGACGACAGGCGGATCGGCGCAGGTACCGCGCAGCCATGCCACTCGTTTGACGTCTAGTGGCGACTGCAACAGGCGCACCGAGATGGTGAGGGATCCCGACGACGAGGTGGGAGACGGCGCGGTGACGACGAGGCGAGACGTGGTGGTGCGCGCGAGTGACGCAGCTGGGCGCGAGGCGCCTCCGCTCTGGGTGGCCATTGAAGCCATTCTGCGGCGTCAGTGGGGCGGGGCTTGGGCGATGGCGGATTCGTCAGAACCGAAGCGGAGGCTGTTGCAACAGCGAGCACGAAGCGCGTGATGTGCGGAGGTACTTTCAGTTCATGCTCAGCAAAATTTGACGATGAGCCAAAGGCTGCTTCCCAAGATGGGACTGATGATGGATCACTCCATTGGTTGCTCCCCTGCGGCTCCAGGGTGAACTTGGATGGCGGCCAAATAGCCTGCCGTGCACAAGCGTGCAACAGAAAAGGAGGAACGATGGAAAGTGGTGGTGATGATATGTGATGGAAAGAAAGCAGTGGGGGACGGGATGGGGTGAGGTGGTAACAGTTACAGGTTCACGAAGACGCCGACACCCATCACGGGAACCAGACGCCCATCACGTGGGTTTGGTGTGGCTCATCGTCAAATTTTGACGGAGGTACTAGGGCTTACGCTAGGCCCTAGGGAGTTTCGGAAGGTGTTGAGTTAGGGTCCAAACATACCCAGAATTTTCCGGAATCCCAGGGGTTTTCACTCGGAATCCTTCCGAGTTCACCAAGTGGTAACTCTGCCTAAGAGGAAGGACTTTTCTGCCTTGTACTCAAATGTTTGTGGTGCACATGACGGACCGACTCGAAATCGAGGCTAATTCCTGAAAATGACTCCACCTTTGGTGTTCGTGACGGAGAAATTTCTCCGCGCAGTGGCGCAAGGAATTTCTCCTTACAGAACGCCATGCTGCGAGACTAGTCCGTCAGGATTCTTGAAAGCAGTACACGGAATGCGTCAGAGTCTGAAGGCCCATTGATTCGCCAACATTGAGATTCGGCAGAACCAAACTTGTTAAAGCGAGGGTCTCAAGAAGCAGAAAACCAAATCCAAAGGTTTTGGTTTTGGGTTGACGAACTTTGCGAAACAGTTACAACGCCCAACCAGCACCCCTCATCGCACCTCACAATTGCCGAGACCCCCCAAAACCAAAACCTTTGGGTTTGTTTTTTTGCTTCTTGAGACCCTCGCTTTAATATCCGGGTTCGGGTTCTTGACAGCTCTTAATTTCTCAACATTCAGGGTAGCTACCCTTCTAGCGTAAGCACCCAACCTGCGCACCAGCCAAGTCAAAGGAATGGGTTTGGAACGGTTGTTCGAAAACAAGTGGTTAAGATGATAAAGGAACGGTTTTATGCGTTTACGCCATGGTACTCTTGAGCACCACGTCCGCATTTCGTTAGGGGCACCCCCCTGGTGCATGGCCCGGCACCTGGACTCTGTTTCACCCAAATCGAAGCTCACGAAGATCATTTAGAGAAGGTGAAAGACGGTTCAGTGCGTTACAGCAAGTGTTTTCGCTGTCGAGTGAGGTCGAAAACTGGGATAGCAAGATGATCTTGCTAACCGGACTCCTGAACTTTTTTGGTACAGTACAACTCTTGCTCCCTTTCCTCAACAGCCGAACTCCATACAGTCAGCGACGCTAGCGACGTCATCGTTACACTTCTCGCCAATCAGCATGAAATAGCTTCCAACGTCGACCTCGTTTGCCGCGAATTCGGTCCACCAACCAACCACCCCCATCCCTCCGTCCGTCCCAAGAACAAGCAGGAAACAAGCACGGATTGGGTATTTATCTCCCCGGAGAACATCATCGGGCGTACTGACGTCAGCAGTAACACGCGTGGGAGATCATACTTGTCAGATCTGCTTTGCCCCAATGTTACGAATTGAACTGGTGTAAGGAATTAGTAATTCCTTACCTAGGCTTGCTTATCAAAATTAGAGAAGTGAATAATGGTAGAGGGAAAGTACACAAAGATATACCTAAGTGTTGTACCCTCTAAGAGGTGACCCTATACAGTCTATACAAACATGACACATACACATGTTTGACACACCCCCTAGACTGCATAGGGGAATGTCCTAAACAAGCAGCTCATGTCACAAGGTTTAGCTAGGAGCTAGGAGGAGCCATGAGAATGGCGAGAGGTTTTAGGTGCTAGGAAAGTTGAGGAGAGGAAAAGAGAGTTGGATTAGGAAGAGAGAGGAGTACAAGGAGGGGTTTGTACCCTCTACAGAAAAGGTTCAGTAACAACCTACCAAGCCTATATAAATTATAACTTATATAATTTTAACACACCCCCTAGGCTTGGTAGTCACACACCCACACCCCCTAACCTAGCACCCCCATTCCAGCCACAGTGACAGCGACTCTAGGTCGGTCGACCCCACGGCGCGTGAGGCGGCGACGTCGACCGCAGGGGCTGCGGCGGCGACGGCGGCAGCGGCGGCAGTGTCGACAGCGGCGGCGGCGGCGGCGTGCGGCTGCGTGGCCCTGACGCAAGCGGCGACAGCAGCGGCGGCGGCGGCTTCGACAACAGCGGCAGCGGCGGCGGCACCCGCACCTCTCGGTGACGTGGCCTGGCCCCGCGACTGTGGGACGGCCGGCGGGAGTCAGCCGTCGTCTGCGGAATGGAAGAGGGCGCAGGGGAAGGAGGGGGGGTGGGGGGGGGGGCGGCGCCACAGGCTGACATGCGGGCGGCCGGTCTAGCGGCGCCACAAGCGTCACGCGGCCGGCTGCAGCCCGACGACGCCGTCATGGAGCGGCGTCGATGCCGCAGCGGGGCGTCGACGCTGCGACAGCAGCACGACGTCGCTGGTACGCCGACTGCGCGCTGTCGCGTAGACGCCACGGCAGCGTGACGGCGCCGTCACGTCGCGACAGCATCTTGACGCGACGGCGGAGCTGCGGCACGACGGCGCGGCCATAGCAGCTGGACGCGGGCGCCATGGACGTCGACGGCGGCGCCGCGGCACGACGACGCGGCCACAGCAGCTTGACGCGGCCGCCATGGCAGCGCGAGATAGAGAGAGAAACGAGCACGCAGCGGAAACGCGAGGAGCAGGCCCACACGGAACGAACTGCTCTAATACCATGTCAAAAGACTAGCTTAGCTAGGAAGCCATAGAATGGCACAAGGTTTAGCTAGTCTTTTGACAGCTCAGGGCGGCACTACTAGTCCAACCTCTGAGACAAGGGTCTGAGAGACCAGTCAGAAGGGGTACAGACAAGGCAAGAACAAGAGCAGGGCGGCACTACTAGTCCAGCCACTGGGAGAGGACACAAGTCCAGTCTGAGTATACATATAAAGGACAGTACAAAGTCAAGGTCCTAGCAAGTGAGAGGCTACATGGACTAGACCAAGCTGTACACAGTGCCGCTGATGATCTTTAGGCGCAAGCGCCTTCGTAAAGATATCAGCCGTGTTGGCACCTGAGGCCAAGTGTACTACGCGAGCCTGACGTCGCTGCTGTAGCTCACGCAGGAGGAAGTACGGCAGCTGAATGTGCTTCGCTCTGCCCTCGAGTCGAGGCTCCTGACACAGGAGGATCATGGCCCTGTTGTCAGCGAACAGGACCGAGGCAGAGCTAGGCTGCTCACCTAATTCAGTGAGCAAGAAGGTCAGCCAGCGGAGCTCCTGTGCCGCCATGGCACCAGCGTAGATCTCAGCCTCACAGCTGGACTGCGCAACAGACGAGGAGCGGGTAGCTCTCCACGAGACGGCACCTGAGCCAAGGCTGAAGCAGTAGCCCTGGGTATACCTAAGTGTGTCGGCGTCGTCTGCCCACGAAGCGTCTGTGTGTCCAGTAAGGACCACAGGCCTGCGTCCTCCTAGCACTAACCCCATGCCCGATGTACTAGCAAGATAACGCAGAACCCTCTTAGCGGCAGACCAGTGCTACGGTCGGTGTCTGCCTGTGGCCACAAAGCGAGCCTGTCTGCTGTGGCAAAGACCAGGTCGTCGACGTAAACAAGGATGTAGAACGGAGTCTGGCCAGCACGAACGAAGAGTGAAGGGTCTGCGGAAGACGGAAAGAACTGCAGGTCAGCAAGCGTAGCACGGAGAGTGTCGTGCCACTTACGGGGAGCCTGGCGCAGGTCGTAGACAGGGCGCCGCAGGAGCCACTGGGTCCCAGGAGGGAAGGTGCCAGTAAAGCCCTGAGGGCGAGGCAAGTAGACCTGCTCGTGTAGGCTGCCCTGAAGGAAGGCAGTGGAGAAGTCGAGGGAGTGAAGCTCGTAGTCACGCTGAGCAGCTAGGTGTAACAGAACCCGAAGAGTAGTCATCTTCGAAGTCGGAGCGAAGGTCTGGAAGAAGTCCACCCCCTCGCGTTGACTGAAGCCTCTGGCCACATAGCGCGCCTTGAACACAGGCGGCTCTCCAGGAGGGCGCTTCACCTTGAAGAGCCAGCGGCCATCGACTACGTTCACCCCAGGTAGGGGAACTGCGTCGACGAAGGTGCCGGTGGATGTCCAAGATGCCATCTCCTGCTCCATGGCAGCTATCCACTGCGAGGCCCAGGGTCCCGAAGTCGCCTCAGCGTAAGTGCGAGGGGTCGGGATATCAAAAGCGTCTGGGTCACCCTCAGGGACTAGCAACATGGAACAGAGATGGGGAGCAGCCTCGGAGAGGAAAGCAAGCTCGAACTGGTGGTCCTCCAGGACGTCACTGCCAAGGGCAGGAGCACCCTCGACAGACGGAGGACAGGCAGGGTCAGAGACAGCAGCGACAAGAGCGTCAAGGCACGAGACCGGAACAGACGGGTTGGTAACAAGAGAGGCAAGGATCCGAGGAACAAGGGGACGAGCGGCACGAAGGTAGTCAGACAGCGGGGGGGGTGCAACAACAAGGGAGGACGGAGGAGGCGACGGCAGAAGGGGAGGACGAGACGCGTGGGAACGAAGCAACATAGGGTGGGAGCGCAAGACAGGCGAGGCAGGACGAGCACGAGAGGGACGGTGAGACCAGACGTGCGACGGAGGAGTCGGGTCAGGGGACAGGGGAGGGGACACAGGAGGGGAACGAGGGGGGAGACAGGCCGGGGACGAGTCCGGCGGAGGGAAAACAGGGCCGTAGACAGGAAGAGGAGGAGACGGTCGAGGAGGAACAGACGCAGGGTCGGGGGACGGAAGGCCGAGCAGGCGAAGGGCTGACACCGGCGGGGACTGCTGCTGCGGCGGCACAACGGCGACACCTGGACCGCAAGCTGCTCCTCGGCTACCACCGGCACTCTCCACACCAGCACCCCCAGAGGGACCACCCCCACGGCGACCGGGACGAGCACCCCCAGAGTCAGCGAACGGGTGCTGCGACGGCGGCGGCGGCGGCAGCGACAATGACGGCTGCGGCGGCGGCAGAGGCGGTGGAGGAGGGGACTGGGGAGGGGACGCTGGGGGAGGGGCGGCCGGCGAGGACTGCACAG